CGTAAAAAATTTGGGATTACGGTAGGCTACGATATTAGTACGAAAGGATACGAAAACGTACGGTATCGTACAGCAGTTTACAAGTTACTACGGTAGGGTACGTCAGCCACGTTTTTCTAAGTTCCAAGAGTCATTCCATGCTCGGAAAGTTTCATAGGATTACGGTAGGGGTACGGTATTAGTACGAGGGAATACGATAGGGTACGGGAAGATACGGTTACTGTAGCTACGATAACGTACGGGGGTACGGTACGCTACGCTAAGCTACGTTATTTTAGAATGCTTGGAAAATGTTAGGACTACGGTAGATTACGCAAGTACGAAGGATACGATGGAGTACGATAATATACGGTTACGATAGGAATATTCTAAAGGAGTTATTCGACATGCTAGCAACAAGGGCAACTAGCAGGGATTATTGGGGGACATGCCACTAGCTATTGTCATGCCGTAATCGAACCGTTTGTCGGATCGGAGAGGTGTCGCTTTTGAGGTGGGGATTTCGATGGGGAATTGACGGCTGGAAGGCAATAAATGGATTAAAAATGACCCAAAAATCTATGGTTTTTCGGCAGCTCAAAACCTATAAAATTCTATTAGAAATCGTGCTAAAATCCTGCTAAAATCGATTTTTCAAAAATTCGGTTTTCCTACAAACATTTGGGGGAGGGTAGTAATCTGAGGTACGCACCATGACTATCGACGAGGAGCTGTGAATAGGAGGATACGGTGCCCGCTTCATTTCTGGCGATGCACTGGTAGACGCCTGGAGAACAGAAATTTTAGCAGCCTTCTCTCTCTCGCACTCTCTCGCTCTCTCTCGCTCTCTCTCTCTATCGCTCTCTCTATCTCTCGCTCTCTGTTTCTCTCGCCCTCTCTTTCTCTCGCTTCTCGCGTGTTCGATTACGTAATCTAATTCCAAATGGCTACCTTGATCGGCTTTGACAACCCCAAGAATCCGAAGATGGCCATCCTGGATTTTGATAAAATGGGAGGAAACCAGTGGCAGCCCATTTTTCATCCATTCCACTTCCGAGCTTCCCTTGGTCTCGCAGCGCATCTGAAAAGCGGGTTTTTGCCCCTAAAGGGATGGGCATCGGGTAGCCATGGATTTTCGTAGGCTCATCCAAAAAACTAGGCTTACCTCAACATCCTGCCGTTCCGAGGCAATCCGATCGGCCAGGGATACGGTAAAGCGAGGGGATTCTGAAAAAGAAACAGATTTAGCGATTACGACATGAAAATTACGCAATTTAAATCAGTGCCAGCCAGTTTAAGCGATTACGCAATGAAAAATACCGGGTGTCAGTTCGACCAATTACGTCATAAAAAACAGCGCATATTGGTCTAATCGATTACGCGAACCAGTTACGCCATCAAAAAGACAGTTGGCAGTTTAAACGATTACGCAGTTTAAATGATTGCTGGCCAGTTTGACCGATTATGCAATCAAAATCGAAAAACACACCAATAACGATGAGTTCTGCCGTTTTCTCGTAGACATCACCGTGAAGCGACGTTTGACAGGTGTACGTTGCCGTATCTAAAAATGAGGAAATTACGCTATCTACAGTACGCTCGGCTACAAACAACACCTCTTGACGGTAAAAGCTGCACTTACCGGAAGGTAGCGTCCTCGTAAAGTATAGCGAGGAGGAAACGAGACGAACCCGTTCACCATCAACACGAAGGTACGAGCCGTTTCGGAGCCTGAAAATTGCAAATTGTCTCTGCTTGCCTGCCCTTCAGGAATTCAGCTAACTATCCGTCAGTTTATCGATTCTGCCACCGATTTCTGCTAGCCTGCCTTCCCTACTTCCCAAATGATCTCTGCTAGTTGCCGGTTTGCCAGTTAAACCAATCGATTTGGTTTTAGGGCCAAAATTTTCCGCAAATGGTCTCTGCTTGCCTGCCCTTCCGGATTTCGTCAACCTGGCTGCCAGTCGACCCGTTCCCCAAATGGTCTTTGCAAGCTGCCCCTTATGGACTTACCATTCAACTTGTGCTCCGGCCATTCCAGCCGGCAGACACTCCAGCAGAGCAGCTTTTCCCTCGGCTACCGTAACACTTCGGGGCCATGAAAGGAGACCACGGGCGATTGGGGCTGAAAAAATAAAATTAATTTCATCGCGTAATCGAATTGTCTTGGTGTCGTTTTCATATCGTAATCGGTTAAACGCTGTCAGTTAGCCTATTCGTAGCGTAATCGATTATACACTGATGATTTCCCAGTTTGATGACGTAATCGACCAAACTAGAGGCCAAGTCAGCTTTTCATAGCGTAATCGAATAGGCCTGGCGCCGTTTTTCATGTCGTAATCGATTAGACGGCGGACAGTTTATATTTTCATTGCGTAATTGATTAAACTGGAGTCCAGGTCAGCTTTTGGCGCGTAAAGGATTAAGCTGGAAAGAGAGAGAGAGGGAGAGAGAGAGAGAGCGAGAGAGAGAGAGAGAGACGGAACTAATTCAAAACTACCGTACCCCTCGTCTCGACCTGTAGTCGTGCAGCAGTGCTTCTCAAAGCTTCTCCCTGTCCCTCCACTTCACATCGATAGAATCCCTGATGTTTTGGGAGTACGGGATGGATTTCCAGGCTTCCAGAGAGCGGGATTATCCGGGTGTCATCTGGAATGGAATGTACTTTTTACCGTATCCCTCCTTACCATTCAGCCGTAGAGGTCTGTCGTTGAACAGCCACCGCGTCGCCGTCACGTTCGCCTCTTTTCTCTGAAAAAAAGGGATTTTTGTAAGAATTCTCGGTCATTTTCGTCGCGCAATCCTAAAAAAAACTGCTAGTCTGCCCCTTTTCTTAACTGCCTGGCATACTGTAGATTTACAGAGTTTTCCACAATGATCCCTGCTAGTATGCCCAAATTTTGACGTCGTAACCGGTTTCAAAATTTTGGCCTTGCTGACCAATTCAAACGCGTAATCGATTAAACCTAAGCTAAGGCTAAGGAATTTTGATGTCGTAATCAATGAGACCCGGTTTTCGACCTTTGATGGCGTAATCTATTGAACTGCCCAAAATTTCGGGGTAGATTTGCGCCTCCCCGGGGCTCAATCCTTCGAAAAGCGCGTTCCCCAGCTTCCGCTCGTTGGAAACGGCAGACTGGCGGCCAATTAGTCAGGGCCAATCAAAATATTGGGCCCCGGGCCACACGGACTAGGGGCCAGTGGGCCCTAAGAGAGGGGGAGGGGAAGGAATTGATGTCTCTACCCCCCGGCAGGTGGTCCTTTTCCGCTTGGCCACTAGCCTTAGAGAGGGGCCACCTAGATTGCCCTCAAATTGTACGATGCACTAGGAAATCCCCGATTAAAGGTCCTGGGAAGCCAAAAATCCATAGGAAAAATCGAGAAAATCGAAAAATGCAAATTTTTGCCTCAAATGTTGCTTTTCTGGGGTAAGCTAGCGAAGATTCTTTGCGGAATGGATAGATGGTCCGACAGATAGTTGAACTGTAAGTAGAGGGCTAGGGGAATTCCCCGATTAAAGGGACTGGGAAGTGCAATAATCCAAGGAAAATCGAAAATTTAAAGGTGTAAAATAACAGAAATCACTTGCAATTTTATACAACCGATTTCGCGATAAAAATCCCGAAAAACTCACGACGCGACAGTGAAAAACGGCGGTATGGCCGGGGGCCGCGTGGAAATCCTCGGGTTCCGCCTCGAAACGAAGCGGATACGGGTCGAAGATCTGAAAAAGGGTTCCGGTATTTACAGAAAACGTCGCATTACGGTACTTTCCAAAGAAGGAATTTCCCCCTTTTATACAAAAGATATTTTCCGACTATGCTACATTGCAATTACGATATTTTGCTGATTACGGTACCCTCTAAATTACGATACACTCGGTACGGCCTTTTTTGCTCACCTTTGCCCCTGTCGACGCATAGATCCATTCATTTTTCTTGGTATCCGTGATCCGTACACGACATGAATATTCCCCTTCGATTGGACGGCCGATGTAGAGGGTACCGTTCGGGAGGACACTTCTGGAAAAGAATGATATTAGGGGAGGCTAGCAGTGATACTTTGAGGAATGGGTAGGTTGGTTGGCAGATGGGAGAACTAGGGAAGAAGTTTTTGAAATGTGGGTGAGCTGGCAGAGATTCTTTGAGGAATCGCCAGACTGGTTACCGGATGGGCCAACCAGCAAAGAAATTTTAAGAATTAGGGCAGACTAGCGGAGATTCTTTGCTGAATGGGTTCGTTGGTTGTCAGTTAAGGCAACTAGCAAAGAATATTTAGGAATTGGGGGCAGCCCAGCAGCGATTCTTTGGGAAATCGCCAGACTGGTTGCCAGATGGGTAAACTAGCGGAGAAAGTTTGAGAATTTAGGGCATGCTATCAGAGTCTTCTGAGGAATGGAGAGAGAGAGAGAACGCTAGAATTGCGATTTGCGGAGTTTTGATTTCTTGGCCCCTTCAATGGCATGCAAATTTGGGCCCCCTCCTCGTCCCTTTGGCCCATTCATCCATCGGAATCTGGAGAATCCCTGGTGCTCCCCCTCCGTCCAGAGGTCCGTCATTAGGGTACCGCTTTTCGGGGGACTCCTATTGACCCGTCTCTCTCTCTCTCACTCTCTCTCTCTTCTCTGACCCACCAATTAGTCTTCCCTTTTGCATGACAAGTCTGGTGGATTGTGACCTATGTACTCCGTTAGATCCTGGCTAGGGCCACAGGATAATCCGAAAATTGGGGGATCGGAGGATTTCAGAATCCCCAATGATCGCTGCTAGGTTGCCATTGAGGGATTGGTCAATCTGCCAGGCAGTCTAGCCCATTCTAGAGCCAAAAATTCCCAAACGATCTCTGCTAGTGGGTCCAGCTTCGATTTTGGGGCTCTGGCTGCCAGTACGAGCCTTAGAGCCCAGAACTTTCACCAATGTTCTCTGCTAGCTTGCCCTCCTCGTATTCCAGCTAACTGCTAGGCAGTCCACTACTTCCGGAAGGAATCTCTGCGAGTTCGCCCATTCTCAACCCCGCAAATTGCCTCTGCTAGCTTGCCTTGCTGAACGGGCAGTTGATTTGTAAATTTTTCCTTTTTTTTAGTCGAAATCATTCATCCTCAATAGCCTCTGCCAGCGTGCCCACTTTAGATTCCGCGTAGCTGGCAGTCAGTTTACCCATTCCCCAAACGATCTCTGCTAGCCTGCCCCTCCCTCGCTTGCCAGTCCCTTTAATCCGTTAATGGAATGCAGAACAAGTAGTCGTTGTGGGGGGTCAATCCAGAAGCCTTCTCCTCCACTTACCCACCCCAGGCCCCATCCCCCTTAGGGCCCACCACTGGGCCCTAAGGGCCAAAGGGGAAGGGCTCGGATTTCCATGCATAAAGTAGTCGTTCCCCTGGACCCTCTCTCTCTCTCTCTCTCTCTCTCCCTCTCTTTATTTATTTCCAAGGGGGGGGATGTCTCGATTCGGGACATCCAAAGGGACCTTTGATGGCACCCTGGATAAGGGAAGATTTAGGGCCCACAAAGGGCCCAAAATGGCCCATGAACAGGAACCCCTGCCCCCAAATACTAGGACCCAAATTCCAGTGGTTAATTCGAGAATTGAGGGCAGGCTAGCATAGACCATTTGTGGAATGGGTAGACTGGCTGGCAGCTAGATGGAATTCAAAGTGGGCAGGCTAGCAGAGATCATTTAGGAACCCAGGCCACGTTTTCTCGATTTTCCAGGCTTTTAGCTAGCTATTTAGTCATTTCTGTTTTTTTCAAAGCAAGCTAGCAGAGATTCTTTGCGGAAAAGCTAAAATGGCTGACAGATAGCCAGAAAAAGTCCACCAAGGCAGGCTAGCAGGAACCATTTGCTAGATCCAGCATTTTTTTTCACTGATTTTTGTGGTTTTCGGGGAAATTTTTGGAAAAATTAATTTTTTTTTCTCAATGTTGCTAAATAAATTTTTGGCCCTATTTTTAAGGTCCCCCATTTCCGGGCAGGTGTTGTCCGGGGCCGGTTGTATAGTAGCCAGGCGGAAAAACGTGGGCGGGCGAGATGGGGCTTTTGCTACCCCCACACCCCCTAGCATCGGGATTATGAAAGCGAGTCTCGGCGGATGACTAAACCAGGTGGAGAGAGAGAAAGAGAGAGAGAGAGAGAGAGAGAGAGAGAGAGAGAAAGAGAACAGAGAGATAGGGAGAGAGAGAGAGCGGGAGAAATGGTATGCCATCGACCCTCTAAAAGCCTCGCCTTAATCCCCACTTGATGGCGGTAAAAATGAGACGGCAACTTGCAACATCAAACAACCCGAGAATTTTGGGCTTAAAGAACCTTGGAAGTGAAAATTCTATCGATTTTTAGGCTTTCTGGCTGCCAGTAAAGATTCCAAAGAGTCTCTGCTATCTAGCCAGCACTTTAAAGAGACTAGCAAGGCAAAGAAACTATGGATTTTTGGACTTTCTAGCAGCCAGCCAAGTTCCTAAAAAATCCCTGCTAGCTTGCCCAGACTTTAAAGGGGCCCGGAAGGCAGTTACTAGCTATTTTAGCCCCAAGCCCCCAAAAACCCCCCCTTTCCCCCCCCCCCCCCCCCCGGAGAAAAAACCCCCCCCCCAACAAAAACCAAAAGCCCCAACGCCCCCGGTGGGATTTTTAAAGGAATTAAGCGGCGTTAAAATTGAGAATTTCAGGGCGTAATTGAATGGGGAGGAAGACAAGCATACGGATACAAATGACGATAAATACAATCGCAAAAACCTTCAAAAACTCACGGATTTTCAATAGGCCGTCCATCTCGAAGCCATTCCACTCGCTCCTCTATCTAAAAAAAAACACGATTTTTCGGCGTTTTTTTACTGGGAATTTCTAAAAATGTTTTTTATTTTTACGTTAAAAAATGCTCATAAAATATGTATTGTTGCTATTTTTGCGTTAAAAAATATTTACCCTCCCATCATTCTTCTCAAAATTGTAGGCACATGGAAGGAGGATCGGTGAGGAAGAAGCTGAAGAAAATTGGCCGCTCGGTTCGGAGGAGAAGTGGAAGCTCAGCCAGCGATCGTCTGAAAAAAACATTTTTAATTTTTCCCGCTGGATTTTACGTTTCTCAGCCCCTTTAAAAGTTTTTCACAAACTTTTAAAGCTCAACCAGCGATCAACTAAGAAAAATCAAGTTTATTGAACCAATTTTTAGCTTCCCAGCCCCTTTAAAATCGCGCCAATAGCCTCAATTTCCCCCTCGGCTTCATCAACCCCTAAAATGAGGCCCCTCAAAGACCCGGGAAGCCAATTTCCCGGCTATTAATGCGTGGTTTATGATGGGGCATGTCAGGGATCGAGGGAGGGGGGGATCTTCCCAAGATCTCAAGCTCATTTCGAAAGAATGGGGGGAGGGGGGCCCTAAAAGGGGGCAGCCATCTGTTATTTCAGGGGTAAGGGGAAGAGGAGGAGGAGGGACAGATGGTCTACCAATCTTTCTCTCTCTGCCTCTCTCTCTCTCTCGCTCTCTCTCGCCACAAATCGATCCCTCTACCCTTTTTTAGCCTTCCGAAATGACCGTCTCCTCCCCCTCCTTGCCGCCTAGAAAAACCCCGGACTAGGATAACCCAATTTCGGGCAATTACCCAAAACGGAGGCCTGGCACTCGAAAAGTGACCAGCCGCTCGTGCTTTTCGAGCAAAAATCTTTTCTGGCTGGGCGACCCATTCCTAAATAACCTCGGCTCGTTGCCTGGCTACCAGTTAGCGAAATCATAGGGTTTGGGGCTCACGAGTTTTCTTGAATGGTCGCTGCTGGCTTGCCACTGTGGAATTCAACTATCTGTCAACCAGCCTAGCGTTTCCGCTAGGGGTTTCTGCTAGCTTGCCCGAGTTTGGAATTACCAGGAGTAATCGGTTCACCGGACAGAGCGAGAGAAAGAAAGAGAGAGAGAGAGAGGGAGAGAGAGAGCGAGAGGGGAGAGAGGAGAGGGAGAGAAGAGAGAGAGAGAGAGACAGACAAATAGACAGACAGGCAGATAAATTTTAAAACTTACCATCTATCCGATGAGACGCTGCCTGGGTTAAAAAATTCGCGGTGAAGCCGAGGAGTAAAAGTGGAAAATATAGTGGTTCTCGCATGGTCAGTTGATAGCTTCTCGTTCATTCGGATCTCCAGTCTCACCGTCGCGTTGTCGGCATTTATTTACGGCTGGAAAAAAAGTCATCAAAAATAGTATTAAAGGGAGCGTGACAGATGAGAGCGAGAGAAAGAGAGAGAGAGAGCGAGAGAGAGAGCGAGCGAGCGAGAAAGAGAGAGAGCAAGAGAGAGAGCGAGCGAGAAAAAGAGAGCGAGAGCGAGAGAGCAAGAGAGAGAGAGAGAGAGAGCGAGCGAGCGAGCGAGAGTGAGAGAGAGAAGCAGATAGTTAGCCAGTTTTCGGAATTTTTCGCCCCCTAAAAGCCAACCAAAAATAATAGGAGCCACATGGAGGGGAAGACGGAGTGTGTGTGCGCTGCGAGCATTTTACGACGGCTGGATGATAGATGGGGAGAAGCGGAAGGGGATTGATAGCACGGATTCTTGAGGAAAGTTTGGCAATCAGCCAGGGAACGGCCTTGAGGCGAGAGAGAGGAGAGAGAGAGAGAGAGCCAGGGAAAGTTACATGAAATGGAATGGGAGGAAAGACATCCCATTGGATGTCCCCGTCTCCTGAAGCCCGTCCTTCCACTCTCACAACGGCCCTTTTTAATGGCACGCTGCAACGCGAGGGGTGACGGCAACATGACTTTGAAAGTTTTAAGGGATTCGGAAGGCAGAAATCTTCAGAATTCACGTAGAAACACCAACGACAGAATTCGGGTACGATCCCTAGATGACATTTTTACCAACTTCGCAGCCGATTCTGGTGGTTCCGGTCATTGTCCGGTCAAATCCGGTCGGTTTCCGGTAAATTTTGGCCGGATTTAAACTTTAGGTGAGGATTGCTATATTTTAAAGGGATTGTCAAGGCAAAAATCCATAGAATTCACGCCGACACACTAATAAGATCATTCAGATTCAATTTCTAGACCAGAATCCACCCAATCATCCGTCGATTCCGGTCAAATTTTGGGCGTTTTCGAATGCATTAACGCATTTTGGCTCTTTAAAGGGATTGGGAAGGCAAAAAGCTATCAAATTTGGAGATGTTGCAATAATCAAAATCGCATTGTTTTCGTTCGTAATATTTCGGGTCAATTTGTAATTTTAGGCACATTTTTGAGATGTTAAAGCAAATAAAAGTGCAAAATCCGTAAAATCTTGCTAATTTACGGTATTTCTAGCGTTTTGGAAGGGAATATAGCCACCGGGAATAAATATCGGCCTCCGGGAATAATAAATATCGGCCGTATCTTCCTCTGAACGTGCAGAAAATGACGAACAAAATTAGGGGCATGGGTGGTTGATTGGAGAACGGGGCGGAACCGATGTCTTTATCAAGACTGCGCGGGGAACGGGGATACACGAAAAGAAAGGACAATAAAGAAGAGAGAAAATCGACCAAAATAGCCCGGGTTTTTGCTGAATTTAAGGATTTCAGTAGCTGAAAACTTTATATAGCGCACCAGAAAACCTACAGAAAACGTTTTACAAGCTTTTCGTAGCTTTTACGATACGATTGGAGCTTCAAAAAAACCTATATTGCAAAAAAGCGATTCCGGAGTGCTAAATCAACTAAATCAGTAAACCGAAGCACGCCAAGCTCGAAAAACGAAGCCCGGGAAGTCAAAACAAGTCAAAGAAGCTCAGAAACAGCCTGAAAAGCCGCTGAAAGCTCGAAAGAGCCAAGATTTATACCAGATCGAGTAGCACTAATGTCTAAAAATTCATTAAATAAGGAGCCTAGGAGCGGAAAAAAGCAACGATGTCAAACCAGAGGAAGGGTCGAACAGAATGGCGCTTACTCGGCCGATACCTCGAAAATTAATTAATTCGGGGCATAGACGAGTCGTAAGACGAAAACAAATCAAGCAGATCTGAATCTTCTAATTAACCCCTCAAAAATGATTGATCACCCGGGTATATACCCGGAAATTAAGAGGGGGAAGAGTGGAAGGGCGGGAGGTGTCAGCCCAGCCAATAGTACCCAGCCGAGAGATGACCTTCCAATCCAAATCTCTACCCCTCTACCCCTCTAGCCGTCTATCCAAGGGGTCAACCCCCCAGCATTGGTCAGCCTCTGCCTGCTGGGGGGTGTATTGTGGGCGTGGCTTCTCGATTTCTTGGTGCTCTCCGTCTCTCCCTCGCTCTCTTGCTCCTCTGCCTGTCTAGCCCCAGATTCAAATTCCCGCTTCGCGACCGCGGCGCGCGCACCAGCAACCGTGTGTGTCTGTGTGGGTGCGCGCCAGCGACCCCTTTCGAGACGCCCCCGGATTATGTCTACAAATGTTTAAGTAATGATTTTGAGTTATATCGATTTTAAAACGCTTTAAAAAGCTTTAAAAACTAGGAAGGTACCGCTAGGATTAAGGAGCGTAACTTAAAATGTTATACGGCCAACCTGGAAAACTCTTTTCTCTTTCTACAATTTTACGTAATTATTTAAACTTTCAGGGTTAAAAGGTTTAAAAGCTCAAACTGCTGAGGTCGCTTGTTGAGCGTCCTTAAAACGCGTAGTTTTACCTTGAAATCCTGAAAAAAGCTAGATTTTTAGCGGGCTTTAAAAATATAAAATTTTTAGACTTCGAAATTCCGCTATTATAAAGGCCATATCAACCTGAATTTGGTGTCCATTAGTGCGGAAACGAAGCGCCATTTCATGCGGAACTTTTTCTGTAACGAAAATACTTTCGAAAATGTTGAAAATGTAATAAAACTCGGCTTTTCCTTGACATTTCCGGTCCTTTTGGTCGGTTCCGCATAGTTACGCCCTATCCCGTGGATAATGCGTCATTAGGAATTGCGCGGAACGGTCGTTCGAGATTTTGGATTTTTGCGCCAAATCCTTTCGCGCGCGTTTCGGGGTTTTTTTCGTCTCGCTAATCGAATTTTCTTTTGTTTGCTTTTCGTTTAGTTTACCTTATCTTTTCTTATCGATGGAATTAACCATCTCTTTAACTCGTTAACTTAACTTTTAAAGACGTAAAAAGTGAAAACTCCAGGCCCATTTTTGGAAAACTTTCATCTCCTGGAAATTTTAACGTTTTCTTCCGGCTCATCTTTTCTCCTAGATTGTATGGCTTTTTTGTGTATTTTCGCTTCGGTTCTATCGAGTTTAGACTTTTTTAAATTTTTTTTTTACCTATTTAAAAAAAATTAAAAAAAAAACAATACTTCTGCATTTCCTGGGCTTCCTTTTCTATTTTTCTGCTATTTTTGTTTTACCAAAGTTGCTGGCTTGATTCTTGCCATTTTCTTGCAACAGAATAACCATTTTCGGTTTTTTTTTTTTTTTTCCCCCCTTTTTACCTTTTTTTCTTTTTTCTTTCTTTTTTTTTATTATAATAAAAAAAAAAAAAAAATTATATTTTTTTTTTTTTTTTTATTTTTTAAATTCCCAATTATAACCCCTCATTCCCCCCCCCCCCCCCCCCCCCCCCCGGCCGCCCCCGGGGGGGGGGGCAACAGGGGGCCCCCCCCCGGGCCCCCCCGCCCCCCCCCCCCCCCCCCCCCCCACAGGAGGACCCCCCCCCCCCCCCCCCCCCCCCCCCCCCCCAAAAAAAAACCCACTTTTTTTTTTTTTTTTTTTAATTTTTTTTTTTTTTCCCCCCCCCCCTCCCCTTTTTTTTGTTCCACCCCCAAAAAAAAAAAAACCAAAAAAAAAAAAAAAAAAAAAAAAAACCCCTCTAAAATCCCAAAAGCCCCCCCCAATTAAACCCCATTTTCGCGAGAGGACATCTGTTTTTCGCGTCAACCTTTCCAAATACTCATTTTCAGGAAACCACCGGATGTCATCGAATAAATCCTGGTTTTCGGCACTATTTGGTGAGTTTTTTTTTTTGGCAGAATCCTGGAGTTTTGAACCTTTTTGTGTGTGCTTTTTTTATTTCCACTTTTTCAGGGAGCTCCTCGCGTGAGCCGGAGCCGGCCCCGTCGGCCTCTTCTACACCAGCTGCGCACAACTCACCGGAGGGCCCGGATTCGCGTTCGTTTCAACGTGGCGCACAGAATCGCGGTAATTTTTAGCAGGATTTATATGAGACTGCCAGAAAGCCTTCCAAAAACTAAGAAAAATCGAAATTTTGGCCAAACATGTCCATTTTTGATCGAAAAATGATATTTTTGTATTTTTTTTTTACTACAAAGTTTGTGATGTTTTTACGTTCAGGAATAGTAAAAACAGTTTAGAAACGCTTCCGCTCCTTGGATTTGAAAAATTGGATCCTACGAACGAGAGAAAAAGTTTACGATTCTCCTTTTCCAGGCTCTCCAGCGATAACAACCACCGACCAGCCGCCGCTCCGCAGCTCGCTGAAACAACTCGGCAGCTTCACGCCGTCGGCCCGCATCATCTCCAACGGCGCCTCCTCCACGCAACGCACCCCGGGTCGCGGCCTTTTCGTCGACACCAACGGCGACACTTCCGAGAGCATTACGGTAATTTTTAGCCCATTTTTTGTATACCATTTTTTAGCGCAAGCGCCAACTCGTCACGTCTCCGGAGAACAGCCTGCTCACCTCCGACCGCATCAAACGCTTCCGCGAGAATTTGGCCAAGTCTAGGCCCGAGGATAAGGTGAATTTTTGCTTTTTTTCGAGCTATTTTTCTGATTCTGTACTACAAAAACTGCCAAAATTTCGTTATTTTTTGCCCAAAACTTCCGCTTTTGGAGCGTTTTTATTCATCCCTTTTTCAGGCAAAACTCAGCGTGTTCTCCTCGCTGGAGCCGAAACTCCCCCGCCTCGACAACAGCACGTTCACCGCCCCGTCGGCACGCCAGAATCTCTCGGCAATGGACTCGCCCGGCGGCTCGTCCAACTTCTCGCACCTCTCCCGTCGCTCGGCCGCCCCATCACTGCAGTCGAACGTCTCGTCGAAGACGCGCAACATCCTCGAGCAGCTTGAGCGATGCTCCACGCCGCAGAGTGTGCGTTTTGGTGTTGTTTCGTTTTTTTTGCAGCTAGTTGCAGGGCCATAAAGGCTGTCGTTCCAACTATTTGGTTTTCTTTCTAGCTTTTGAGGGTTTTTGGTTCTAGAAAGCCCATGTTCGCTTTGAAAGGGTCATAAAAAAGCAGAAAAACACATTTTTGTCGTCAGGATGGTTTTTCGAGCTTGAAAAAAGTTTAAATTCGTGTTAAAAATGTTGACAAGGGAGAAAAAAAGTTTAAAAACGTGTTTCTATCGTTCAACGGGTTTTTGTTTGCAAAAATTTAAAAGGTTTTTTGCAATTTTTGAAATGTTTGAAATGCCGATTCTGTTTTGAAAATGTCGAAAAAACATCAGAAACATTTTTCGATCATTTGGAAGGTTTTTTCATAGTTTAGCGCGCGCTTTTTCGGTTTATGGAACTCAAAAACCGTTAGAACCTATTTTTCGTAATTTTCTCCATAAAACCTCGATTTTTCAGAACACCCAGCGCGTGCCAGCCTTTCGCACATCCAGCGGCGTCACCGAAGTGTGGAACACGTCTTGGCAAAGCGGCAACGGCTCTATGACGCGCTCCCAGATCCAGGCCACCGGCACCCCACCACCACTCCGCCGCCAGACCATAGAGGTATCAATCGCGGTTTTTCTCCAAAAATTCGTCTAGGTGCCCTCGCGAATGCAGGTGCTGACGAGCTCGCTGTCGTCGCACTACAAGAAGCCGTACTGGAGGGATTTGTCGAGGTCGAACACGGCGCCCAGCCCGTCCGGATCGGCGGCCGCGGCGGCTTCTCCGGCTCTGCAGCGCGTTCGGGATGGAGCCGGTGTTAAGGTATAGTTTTACCGATTTTTTGGATGTCTTGATTTTGATAAATAAATCGTTTTATTGTTTGTTTATCGTGTTTTGCGCTATTCTTCTGTCGTTAAAAAGTGGAATTTGCGTCGTTTTTCCTTAGAAATCGTTTTTGTTCTTTACAAAATTGGAGTCGATTTTAATTTAAATTTTGGGTGGCATTTTGTAGATGACGCCCCTTTTTACGTGCCAAAAATACGCTCATTTTTCCTTTGGTCTGATTTATCGCTAAAAAGCGGAATTTGCGTCGTTTTTCTGTAGATGACGCCCATTTTTTGTGGCGAAATAGCAAAATTTGATATGTGAAATTATATTTATTAAGTTTTAAAAATCGCTAAGTTTTGTTTGAATTATATTTTTGCTCTTTTCCAGATCTCTCCGCTCTTCGACCTCACAGCCCACCAACCGGCCGTCACCCCGAAAGAAACCGTCACCACCGCCACCACCGCGACGCCTCCACTCAAAGGTGCAATTTTGAGCATCAGCTGAAACTCCGCTTTTTAGGACCCGACGGCAAGAAGGGCCGCAACACGTTCAGCATGCAAGACATCGAAGAGAGCGGCGATGATGATATCCAGACGCTGACCGAGGCCAATGGACTGCCCATCACCGCGTTCGCCCCGCCCAAGGGATTCCTCGACAACTGCCTCTTCTCCTTTGCCGCGCCGGTCGAACGAGGACCGCAAGTGGTAAATTTTGAGACGTTTTTGAGCTGGATGAAATCCTGGTCGCTGTAACCTATTCTACGCTTCTTTGAGCGCGTCCCTCCTACGGGCTTAAAATCCTGCTCAAAACACTGGCAATGGAGCTTAGAATATGATTGCAATTCCAAATTGCCGTTTTTTTGCTACCATCGAAATAGTTCCGGTTGTCTAATTTTTGGCACTTGCATTTGGAAAATCTGTAGCGTATTTTAGTTCCCCCCTCCTTGGCCCCGTTCCCCCCCCCCCCCGGGCTCCACCCCCCCCAAAACCCCGACGAAAAACCTTGGGGCCGGGGGGGGCCAAAATTTTCCCCTTTTTTGGGTGATATCCTTTTTTAAAATTCAAGTTCTATTTCTTTCAAAAATTTAGTTTTTTGAACGCCCGAGCGCCGAATCCTGGCTTGATTTTAATCTACGCTTCTGGTACGAAATATTTATATTTCGGCACGTAAAAGCTTCAAATTCAGCACGAAAAGCTACCGGAAGCCTGTAAATATAACCTGGTTAAATTTAGGCCCCCAAAAATTTGACGCTTCGTCGAAATCGCCAAAAATCCTCTTTTCCAGCAAGCCACCGATGAAAGTGACGACGATTCCGAGGAGAAGCAGAGCAGTGGCACCGACGAGACCGACACCGAAGAGAACCAGCCACCCGCAGTTCCGCAGGTATTTTTTGGCGATCGAATCTGTAATTTTCCTTTTTACAGAAGAAGCTGCCCGTTTTCGGGGCGCCGACCGACAGCGAGACGTCCGGCGCCGGCACGCCCAGCTCGAGCAAGAACACATCGCCCGAGAGCCTCAACAAGACGCCGACTGTCGCCACGAACACCGCCACCACGACCACGGCGCCGAAATGGGAGTGCCCGACGTGCATGATGCGCTGGGAGGTATAGAATTTTGATTTTTCTATAGCCAAAAATGTGGTAAAAGTTATCGAATCCCTTATTTGTCGCTTTCTGACGAGCATTGTTGAAAAATTACGTTTTTAGAGAGCCTAATTTTTGACTGGGTTTGACGCTGAAAAATGCGCAAATTTCGTTGAATTATTATTTTTTGCTTTTTCACCTGGTTTTTCGGTTCTAGAGCGAAAAATCGCATGTTTTTGGTTTGTTTTAGGCAGAAAATACACGCAATATTTTTTTGCGGCTAATGGGCTCGTCAAAATGCAAAAAAATGTGCTAAAGCCATTATTTTTTCGCTTTTTTGACGAGGTTTGGCTATTTTTATTTGTAAAATCGACGTGCAAAATGCGCAAAATTCGTTGTATTTTTTAGATTTCACTTTCTCACGGGATTTTTCCATTCAGAGCGAAAAGTCGGAATTTTTATAGTCTTTTTTATACAGATATTGCCACCATTTCCGTTTTTATCCCTATTTTGCAGGAATCGACCCGGAAATGCGCGTGCGGCTACGACAAGGACGGCAAATCAACATCCACCGAGTCGACCACGTTCAAGCCGACCAGCTTCACCGCCCCGCCATCTACCACCACGGTCTCCTTCGGCTTCGGCTCGAAAACTGCCAAGCCGGCTGAAGTTGCGAAGCCCGCCGCCACGACCGCCAAGCCGACGACGTGCCCGGACTGCTGGAGCTCGATCCCCGCCGAAGCAAAGTCATGCCTATCGTGTGGCCATGTCGTTGGCGCTGCTCCTGCGCCTCCTCCTCCGGCTCCTTCCACCGCCACTACAACCTCCTCTGCCACCACCGAGCGCAAGGACTGGAGCTGCCCGACGTGTTTTGTCGGTAATAAGGTAGTTTTTGATGGCTAAAATTGCTATTCGGATTTTTCGGTTCTTTCGCATTATCCGGAGGAGACGATATTTTTTTCTGTCTTATGCCTAGAAATTCCTAGTAACGTTAGAATAAGCGTTTTAATAGTGGTTCTGGCAAAATTGAATGATATTTTAAGTGGAAAAATTTGTTAAAAATTCGGAAATTTTTTTAGGTGGGATTTTTATTTAAAAGTAATTTTTTTTGTCTTTTGCATGAAAATTTGTAAAGTTTACGCTTAGGAATAATAAAAACCTTTCTCGCTTTATAGTAGAATCCTTCGAAAAATTCACCCCCCGATAATGCAAAAGAACCTGCAAAATTCGGTATAGTAAAAATCACAAAACTAAATTTTTCTGCTCACCCTGCAAGCTAAATCTCCTTTTTTGCAGGCCGACCAATCGAAATGCCCGTGCTGTGACCACGAGATGTACAAGGAGACCGCCGGCGGCGAGCAGGACAAGCCGAAGAGCGTCTTTGGCGCCAACGCGTTCAACCCCACCGCCGCTGCCAATGCTGGTAATTTGGATTTGCCCTGTAAAAAATCTCGATTTTAGGTGGTTTCAAATTCGGCACGTCGGCTGCAGCTGCTTCAACGAACGGCGGTCCCTCTTTCGGCATCAAGCCCGCCGAGGAGAAGAAGGACGAGCCGCCGAAATTCGGCGTCACTTTCGGTGCCAAGCCCGACGCGGACAAGCCGGCTTGTGAGCCATTTAAGAATTTTAGCGTTGAAAATGCCAAATTTTCGGTTTTTTCGATTAATTTATGTTGTTTTTAGCTACCCCCACCTTCGGCATGCCCAAGACAACAACAACAACGGAGAGCCCAAAACCCGCCGCCGCCTCCGGAACGTCGATTTTCGGCGCCGCCGCCTCGGCCATGAAGCCGTTCACTTTCGGAGCGTCGCCTAACGCCAAGGACGCCGCTTCCGCTTCATCCACACCTGCCGCCCCGGCTTCTGGACTCGTTTTTGGCGCTACGTACGTTTATTTTATTTTTACTTTTGGATCTAGCCTTTTCAAAAAAAGTCTAAAAAAGTTATAGGCGCCTCTGATAGGCGAAAAAAATAGACGCCGAGAAAGGAGACATTTTTGATAGAAAAATTATCAAAATCTCGCATAAACATGCCAAAAAATTATAGAAATGTCTTGAATGATGTTTTAGAAAATTTTTAGTTGTTAGAAACTTTTAGAAAAATTCAATTTAGGGAAAATAAACGTCAAGAAACGCCTTTTTTGCAGAAAGCCCATGTTCGGCCAGACGCCCGCCACCACCTCGGCCACTCCATCTACCGACGCCCCGGCCAAGACACCACTTTTCGGCCAAATCGACGGCGCCACCAAGCCGCTTTTCGGGTCTAGCCTTGCTGCACCAACTACAGACAAGCCCGCCGCCGCTGCTACGCCTTTCGGGCAACTCGGGTAAGTTTTACGATCGCTTTTTTCATCATTTTTGTTTAGTGGCGATCGGCCGCTGTTCGGCATGACGACGCCGGCGTTCGGCTCCTCATCTACCGCACCGGCCGCTGCTGCCCCGACGACTGCCGCCCCGAATTTCCCCGTCTTCGGCGCTTCCGCAACTACGGCTGCTGCCACGCCCGCCCTCAAGTTTGGCGAGCCGTCTGCAAAGTAAATTCCATTCTTTACCGAATTTTTCAAGCCTAAATTAAGAAAATGGGTATTTTGCGAGCTAAACTTGTCAATTTTTACCAAAATTTCGACATTTTCAAGCTCTTTTCAGTTTTTTAATGGGTTTTGCACTTCAAATATCGCATATTTTACTGAAAAAATTTCGTCTGGTCCATAATTTGATTTTTTTAACGAATTTTTCAACAGTAGATTTCTCTACCGAAAATTGTTAATTTTTAGCCAATTTCGAAATATTGAAGCTTTTAATAGTTTCTTCACTCAAAATCACCTAATTAATTTTTAGGCCTGTCTAGATTGATCAGGAAAATTCTGTTTATTATGTATTAAATATAAAAAGACCACGAAAAGTTTGAAAATTTTGTGAAAATGCAAAATTTGACAATTTTAAATCGAAAAATCAACAATGAAAAGATTACTTTTTACTGCCTAACCGACCCTCTTTTCCAGGATCTCATTCGGCCCCTCGACCACCACCACAAAAGCCGACTCAACCACCGAAGCGGCGAAGCCGCTCTTCGCTTTCGGCTCAACATCGGCCCCTTCTGTCTTTGGCTCATCAACGGGTTCAATGTTTGGCAACGGGTCTTCTTCTACTTCTCAAGCCGACGCCCCCGAGACGAAGCGCAAGATGTTCGAGCCGTCGGCACCTGTCGCTGCTGCCGCTGCCCCATCTACTGGCTTTTCGTTTGGCCCGCTGGGAGGTGGAGCCCCCGCCCCGGCCACCAATGGATTCAACTTTGGCGCTGCGTAAGGGATTTTTGGAGTTATTTAGCGTTTTACAATTTTTTACGATTTTTAAACGTTACAATGTGCAAAAATACACAAATATTGGTTTTCCACCGAATTTCATAATTTTTTATAGTTTTCTTACAAATTTCTCTTTTTAAAACGTTTTAATTTGCAACATAGCTAGATTTGAGATTTTTCTAATTTTATTAGCGTATTATATTTGTAATTTTGTCATTTTTGAACGAGAAAAATCGTAAAATTATGAAAAAGGGCAAAAATATGAATTTATTTTAAAGCTTGAAGTTGCCTACAGTTTCTTTGAAGCTCTCATTTTTAAAAAGTTTTCGATGTGTTTTTTTAAGTTCTGGGGTTATTTAAGGGCCTCTGAATGCTAAAAATCTACATTTTGAGTGAAAAATGGCGTAATATCGACTTTCCAGGAAAACGGCACTTTTTAAAGATTTACTTAGAAAATTCTAATTTAACAAAAAATTTCGATGAAAATGACGCTAAGTTGAACATTTCTAGACCGGCTCAACCATTCGGCAGCTCGGCCTCGGCCCCCGTCTTCGGCGCCCCCTCATCCTCCATCCAGTCGACGCCCAGCTTTGCCGCCCCCACCGCGGCCCCGACGTCGTTCAACTTCACGATGGGAGCACCGGCTGCCGCCCCCACGAATGGTGCCCCGGCCCCGTTCGTCTTCGGCTCGTCGGCCGCCCCGGCGCAGAACAGTACGTCGATTTTCGAAAGCCTGATCTACCATTTTTTTCAGATCTGAACGGCGGTTTCTCGATGGGTGCCCCGATGCCCTCGTTCAACGCGCCGCAGCAGCCGTCGTTGGATTCGCCGTTTGCCTTTTCGTGAGTTTTTTAACTTATTAAGTTTTAACTTAACTTTTTAACTTACTAATTTAAAGTGGTTTTTAATCCCTAGTGATTTTGCCACGCCCGCGCTACGCAACGCAACGCGCCGTAATTCCATTGCGTAACTGCTTTTAGTGGCGAGTTTAGCGCGTTGCATATCGCAGCGCGCACGCTCGCCTTTTGCGACGAGTGCGAGGCGTTCGCGTGGCAGCGCAGCGCGGCAAAATTCGAGGCTATCCACAGCGCGAGCATTCGGCTTTTACGACAAATTCAAGGCGTTCGGGCGGGCGTACGCGCGGGAAAAATTCTAAGAAAAATTTTCTTTAAAGCTCGTGTTATTTTTCTAATAAAATTACACCATTCAAAACAATTTTTCCAGGTCTACAACTTCATCGGGCCCGCAGCGGAAGCTCGCGGCGGCGCGGAGACGGTTGACCGGCAAGAAATGAGCGCCACCTTCTACCATCATTTTTGCGCCAATTTCCGCTCGTTCTCCTCGTTCTCCACTGTCTGCTCGTGCTCCCCGCCCCCGCAATTTTCTCTCTAAACATAGCGAATTGTGTTTGTTCGTTGGTTTGTTTGTGTGTGTGATCGTTATCCGAATCGGTGAGCCCCTCTTCCCCAATTTTTCCCCCAAAATTCTTGTTTGTTTTTTTGAAAAATTCGCCCCGTCATTCTCCTCTAAATTCTTGCCCCTCCCCATTGATTAGTATAGTCGCTAGATACGTTCCATATCGTTGCGCTGCTGCCCTCCTTCCCCTCGTTGTTCTGTTGTCTCTTTCCCCCTCGTTGTCCCTCTCCCCTCTCTGCCTGTCCTCCTTGGGGTTGTTGGGCGCGTTCCGGCGGGATCGTGTCGTCGTCGTCGGCTAGCCGGCTGCTCCCTAAAAAAGTTATTTGAGATAAAATTTATGCTGTCCTGACGTTTTATTCGCGTTTTTTCAGCTTCAAATGACGGCTTTTTATCCGATTTATCGTCAAAAATCGTTTCAGAAAAAACATGTTTATTTTTAGCGTATAAAATATCGTTTTTGGACGATTTTTCGTTGCCAAATTGCCAAAAAAATTTGAAAAGGATTTTCCGATAAAAAACGAGTTTGAGCAGTTCAGAAAAATTGTCTAAATTATATAGTTTTAATCTCTGGACAGTTCGAGCTCGTCGTTTTGATGAAAAACCGGCGAAAACCGCCCAGGTTGAACTGCTCGAACTCGATTTTCTAGACAAAACGTCGACCGGAACGCGCCTCAAACCCCAAAAAATTCCCCGCCCCCCACTGACCCTCCCCGCACGGCAGCTCGCTGTTGCTCAACGGCCCCTCATCCTCCACGTCGTTCTCCCCGCCCGTTAGAAGTATATCGAATTGTTGTTGTCCTCTTAAAAATTTCTATTATTACCGCGTGACACTTGCGGCCCAAATAATTTATTTTTTAAGGTTTTTACAGGTTTTTGGATGTATTTTTCCAGATTTTTACGCTTCCGGAACGCGAACGCCGCGCCCCTCCATTACATAATCGATTACGACGTTTTATAGCGGCCAAGCGGGGCGTGCGCGTTGCGTGTCGCGATAAAACTAAATTTGGCTGTTTTGGCCTAATTTAAACGATTTTCTATCAAAATTTAGGGCCGCAAGTGTCGCCAAACTCCCCAAAATTGACTTCCAATTCGTTGCCCCCCGTTTCCGTTATTCGCCCCCCTTTCGCCCCCCAAAAAAATTCACGGACAATTGGCCGGTAAAAGTGTGTGTTTTCGCGCGAGCAAAAACTACCCGTTAGCAATTGTGATTTGATGTATTCGGCCCCTCACCCTGTTCTCTCCACTCTTTATTTCATTGATTTCCTGACCACACTTCTCTCGCAGATAAACGCGTCGCAATTATTCTATGGAAATTCGATTTCATGGATTGCAAAGTACACACGAATGTCTCGAAAAAATTTGAGAGTATTTGAGGAGTAATTGATTAGAACAATTTTTAGGGTCGGAATCGAGCGGCGAACGGGGCGATGGCCAGCGAGGCGTGGAAACGCGCTTCCACCATTATACTGTGTGGGTTTTTGGGTGGAATCGGAGGTTTAGAGGGTCAAAAAGACGGTTTTCCAGGTGTAAAAGCGTAGGAAAATGAGCCAGAGCTCCTAGAATTCGGATAAAAAGTTAGATTTGCCTGCAAATTGAGGACACGGCATGGCTGCGAGTACTTCTTTAGGATAGCTTCTTTGGGGACCTTGACGTTTTTCAACGTTAAAATCTAATCGATTGAATGGAAATGCGAATTCTGAGCAAGATGAAGCGTTTAAAAATCACCTAACTTCCTGGAAATCGATAGAATTTGGCGCATTTTGAACGTTTCCTAAGGTGCAACACTGGAAATACTCTTCGACAGACGCTCCGGGTAGCTAGCGGGTTTTCAAAAGACGCTTTTTCCAGCTTTATGAGGTTGCTAAATTCTAAAGCCCAACGAGAACACTGCTCGTCAGCCCTTACCAAAAACGCACTTTGGGGGGCGGCGTCTCTCTCCCCGCGGATAGTGGGTTAACTCCCCGGGCGAGCCCCGCGCACCCCCCGGGTTCGGTTCCTCTCGGGTACAAATCCCTCCATTTCATGAAAATTCTTTTGCTTTTTGCTCCAATAGTATCACAAAGCCTCTGGGAGGCAGTAATCCAAATCAAACTAGCGAGTTACGGTTAGAATTCGGAAAATAGCGGCCAGAAGGATTTTTGCCCGAAAGGACCCCAAAACAGTCGCGGATTCGCTATAAAATCAGTTTTTGAAGGCGGCGGGTCAATTTTTAGCTAAATCTCAAGATGTATTACCAGTTGGGGCCTTTACTTTAGTAGATTCGGACATTATCTTACAAGCTGCCGCCTCGTTTTTTGAAAAAAATTGGTGTTTGAACCCATTTCCTGAAACGACACATGATAATTCAGTAATTCTCGATTCACGCTCTCCGATTGGATATAATTATGTAGAAAATGGCCTTATAAAGTCCGATTATTCGAAGCTCCAAATTATCGCTTTCAAAAATTGTTTAGTTTTCCAAAAGCTTTTATATTTCAGTCAGAATAGTATATTTTTAGTTCGCACAACTCATTAACAACTTATTGAAGGTAGCTTATAGCAAGAGGACGAAACGCTCGATGTAAAACCACTTTTTCGGAAATTTGTGAAACTTTAGGCTCAAATAACTCCTTATTTCCTTGAGAACGCCCTCTGCAACCCTCACCGTTCGATAGAGAATTTTTATCTCTATCGATTCGTCAAGCCTCCCGAATTTTCGAAATCATGCCAAAAAAGTTATGGCAAGAAAACTACAAACTTTGCTTTTTCTAATATGGGCGGCGCCGCGGCACAGGGACCAGTGGCAAAAGGCGCGCCCCGTACTAAAGTGCGCTTTGACGAGCCGTGAGAAAAAGATGGAGGCTTCACTAAAAACTAGTGAAACTGATAATAACTAGTTTTTCAGTATCAAAATCGACGCGTCGTGTGTTGATGTTGGAACGTGGGGCGACGGCCCCTTTCATGCCATCTCTACATGTATTCCCGGGTGGAGTATGCGAACCCAATGACGCCAAACTCGGTGATGACGGCAAGGCGGCTGCTTTGAGGTTTGTTTTCAAAGCTTTGATCAACTTTTTGATTCAGGGAACTCTTCGAAGAAACGGGGCTCGTTCCGTTGGCAAATGGCCAGGCCCTGACTGCCGCTACTGACGAGAAACTCGCCGAATTGCAGTTGTCGACTAGGAAGGAGCCGAATGCCTTTGTCAAGGTGATTTTTAAGCGATTTTGAGGACAATCCCTTATTTCAGTACTTCTCGGGTCTCTCCTCAGCCATTCCCTTCTCTTCTATCTATCGATGGTCAAAATGGCTGACCCCGAATTATGGCAAGAAGCGATACATGACCGAATTTTTCGTGTTGCCGGTCGAGGGAGAGCCGCAGACCAAGTACGGTTTTTTACAAATTTTCTACGCTTTCCTTTTGCAGGATTTGCACTCGTGAGATGACGTCGGCGGTGTGGATCGAGCCGCTCGACGCGCTGCCCCTCGCCTTCAGGGGTACCCTCGATTTGCCACCGCCTCAAATATACGAATTGACACGACTCGCACAGGTTGGTTTTCTCTCGCTCTCTCTCTCTCTCTCTCTCTCTCTCTCTCTCTCTCTCTCTCTCGCTCTCTCACGCTCTCTCTCTCTCTCTCTCCATCTTTCACTCTCTCGCTCGCGCGCTATCTCTCTGTCTGTCTGTCTGTCTCTCTCTCTCTCTCTCTCTCTCTCTCTCTCTGCCTTCATAGAGCTCACAGCTATCCGATTACGCCATGAAAATAAGATTTGGGTTTCGCCAGAATCGATTACGACATAAAAAATGGTTTAATCAATTACCCTATGAAATTTCGGGATTTTTTTCGTTCTAATTTGGTGTAATTTAGACGCCAACCGATCAGCTCGACAAAGCCGAAAACAAGACGATTATTTGCCCCCAACAGGTCGTTTTTAGGCGCCATAATTTCAATATTTGTTTTAGTTGACGGGCAAGGCGAGCGGTGCCGTGGCGTTCATTTACCCGGGCGATCGATTGTATAAAGATGACGATCAATCATATCTCTATCCACCCGAAATTGTCGATGATGTCAAGGTATCGGTTTACTTGTTTTGCCCGATATACCTATTTTTTTTTCAGCTAGCCGCCGGCGCAGAAGATGCTCCCCTTCATCGTTGTGTCTTCCCCACTCGGCCATCAACAAAGGGATGTCGACTATATTTGCAGAAGATCCCCAAGCAGTACAGGTAGCAGTTTGGAATATAGGGGCTACCAGAGATTATTTTTGAAATCCGGAGCAGGTTATGCCTTCCGAAGTTCCTAAAATTTGTAATTCGGGTAGGCTAACGAAGTGGGAGGGCTTGCAGAGACCGTTTCGGAGATCAGGGGCCGGCTAGCAGAAATTATTTGGGAATTGAGATTAGAAATCGCATAGCAGAGATTGTTTAGGAAAACAGGGGGACAAGCTAACAAAGATCCTTTGGGAAAATCGGCGGGCTAGCAGAGATTATTTAGGAGAACAGGGTTAGATAGCAGTGACGCTTTAGGAATTTGGTAATCAGGCAGCCTAGCAGAGATTCTTTGCGGAATGCAGAGGGGCAGGCTAGCAGGCATCATTTGGGAATCCGAGGCCGTCTAGTAGCTATTTTTTTAGCATTCTTGAAAATTTTAGGGCAGGCTAGCAGGGACAATTTGAGGAATTTTTTGCCAATTTTTCCCAATTTATCTCTACTTCTTCAGATTCCACCGTTTCGACACGCGCAACAAGGAACTCGACGAGATCAAGCTCGACGCCTGCAAAATGTGACAAAAATTGCACAAAGTCGAATTTAAAGAATTTTTATGTACCGAAATTTACTTGCCTTTTTCACGCGAATTTTATGTAATTATTTAACGAAAATTAATACAATTTAATTAGAT